AAATATACAGGGTGATGAAGAATTTCAAGCTCTGTCAGATTATATAATTACTTTTTTCAGAAGATAATTCTATAGTGATGAAATGTTTTAAAAACTAATTTTGGAGACAGTGACAAAATCAAGCCTGTGGGAAACTGAATATGAGGGTGCCTTCATTACACACAATTTTTTTTGGTAATACATATATATTAAACGAAAAGGCAAATATACAGGCTGATAGAAAACTCCACGAGCTTTCAGAATATATCATTATTTCTTTAAAAATACGCTGCTATGATAACGATATCCCCGAAATATAGACTAAAGCTTATTTTTTCCAGGCGTATATATATATATATATGACAGATCAAAGCGACAATCAAACATATGAGCATTGAGAATTTGACATGGATTTACTTTCTTTTCTTTTGATTTTTGATTTTCAGGTTTAAATCAAGAAAGTTGCAGACGTTTAATGACAAGACACATTATTTCTTCTGCATTCGTTATAAAGAATTTTTTTCCTATTGTATACAAGAACAACACAATTTGAAACCATTTTAGAACTTTTATCTTCATTCAAGTAATTCTAAACAATCCAGTTCTACAACGGACATCATTCCAATGCTCATAGGTATGTAAAACATGTAGAAACTGATTCAAATGCTTTAAGACATTTTTAAAAGGAACTTTTATTCCACTCTTCCTTTCTGATGTATTGATAAAATTATTTGAATTAGGAATACCTACTAATATTATAGATATACATATCATGGTATAACAAGTCAATTTGAATCGCAATCTACTATTGCAGATAATTTAGCTACTGTCAATTTAAATATATGATATGTACAATTTCAAATCAATTTTTTATTAATATATATTTATAAATGTATGAAGTCTTTGTTTTCTATTTAACCAACAGTCGGTGGATATGCTACGTTGCCTTGTTCGTCAACATGAACTCTAACCCGATCTAGTCGATAATCCATAGTAACCATTGAATTTGGTGATATAATATGAACTTGCGTAAAACCTTAGAAAAAATGGAGAAAAATGTCAAAATATAAATGATTCTCAATTATCATACCAGTATCTCTTTTAATTATTTCAACGGCTTCTTTGCCTTCTTTACCGACAAGTTCAGGCCATTTACGTGGTTCTTCATCCATTTTCTTTTCGTTGAATTCAATCCTAATTAAACACTCCCTACATGAAAATACATCTGCTTATATACAGAAAAAAGAAAAGTCAGCCTACGTTTCATGAATAATATTTACTTAACGATATATGCTGATTGTTTTATGACTAGAAAGCAACGTATTCTTATTGCTTTATGAAAGTCAGAGTGAGAATGTCGGAAGATATTTCTTTGATAGGTATTACTCAACTATTAATCACAAGTATTTGAGAAAAAGAAAATTTTCTTTATAATTAATAACCTGAAGGATAGTACTACAGTTTTGCAGAACAACCAAGTCATCTGGTTGTTTGTAATCGAATAGAATTTTGGTCTCCTACTTGACGAAAAGATTATTTAACTCAGGTAGATTGATATTTACTCAAGGACGAACATCTTTATCACCATATAAAATTAACAACACTATATATTTATTTTTATGAGAAATTTAAGAAAAAGCAATAAAAACAAAACTTATCCTTCGCCGTTCTTCATATATTTATACTGATTATACTTTGAGTCTTGTATCTTTATGGTTGTTTTATTATATTTTTTTTCCTCAATTATAAACGTCAAGTATCTTTTTTATTTTACATATCATTTCTTCTAGAAAATATGTGAAAAGGTTGATTAACATGATTATTGTAAATTTCTTTTGTATCGATAGAGAGTCTATTATAATGGATGACACAAAAGTTTTTGCACAAATGTCGGTTCGTTTTTCATTGACTAAAACATGTGTGAACAAACTTGAAAATATTTGTATAGAATCTACGTCGAAGGTTGTTTGTAACTCTATATTGAAAAAAAGCTCTATCATGTATTGTCTGTTAGTAGGAAGCACGTCTTTAAACAGCACTAAAATGTGAATTGTAAAAAGAAATGAATGCTAGAGAAGGTACCGATCATCTGATATTTCACGATTTCTTTCGGTTCATTTCATTATATGATGTTTACTTGTTCTCTGTCAGGCTTCTGTCTCCATTCTGAACAAACCATGCAAAAAATATTATAAAATTTAACTTTTGCATCACTCGTTATAAAAACTGATCAAAATGACAATCAAACAAATATAAATCAAGAAAGTTACAAATGTTTAATAAAATAACGCATAATAATTTTGTTAGCTTCTTGGTAACAGTTTAGAGTGTGAGCGTATTCTCTTTTATAATTTGAGTTTGAGTAAAATCTTAGGAAGATTGAGAAAAATGTCAAAAATATGAATGACTCTTAATTATAAAATCAAAATTCTTTTGCATTGTTTCAGCAGTTTCTTTGTGCTCATAGCTGCTGATTATTTTATGACTAAAAATAAAAAAATTATTCTTATTGCTTAGTGAAAATCTGAGTCAAAAGGTAGAATAATATTTTTATCATTTAGTCAGCTGACAGAAAAAGAAAAGGATAGCGTGTTAAGCGATTCAATATGAAATGCGCTATGTACGATGTTTTCTGGCAAAAAGAAAATCGGCCGAACTTTTGATTTATATAGGTCGATAGAGAAAACTTTTCTCTATCTAACAGTGCTTTTAGTTTTTTCCAAAAAAGTGTTTCTACCAAGAAATAATTGATACAAATTGAGCAATCAAAATACATTAACACTCATGATTTAATAATGAATCGATGATTCATCTTGATTTGTCTCTATACTGACTAATTATTATTATTCAAGAAAGAATATTACGAATATTACAATCTGAAATTCTATTTAATTAAACCAATCAAGAGTACGTGTAAAAAATAACTTTAACATGCAATACAAACAGATAAAAATATTTCAGAAAAAGAAAATTTTATTTTTAATTAATATAATTTCAAATAAAATTTCTATTTTTTATCGATGAATAGACGTCGCCACTATCTCTCCTGACATCATATCATATTTTATTCGAAGTTGTTACGCGTTACATGACAAGACATAAATATATATTTGCTTGAAGATATTTTCAGAAAAGAAAAGATTTAATAATTCTTTTAAATAAACTATTGAAATGACCACATCAAATCATCGTCATTCAAATAATCATCAAGAAATAAGTAATGGTCAACATTCCACTGATAATAATAATCAAATAAACAATATTGAAATTGATTCAGGTACTATGAAAAACTTTTTTATTTAAAATTCTTCTAACGCTTTCTTTTTATTTTAATAGAATTACTAGAATTAGAAGCCGCTTTAAATGATATTGAAAAAGCTATGGATAAAATTGAATCACAAAATTCCACTATTCAAACAAAATTACGTGATTTACTTGAGTCCAATAAACAAATGGCTAAAGAATTTACTGATATACGACGTGGTATGACAAGTAAATTTAAAGAAGTAACTCAACAATTAGAAGAAACACCAGGCATAGCACATGATTTAGCTGCTGTTACATCAAATACATTATTAAAAATCGAACAGGATATGTCATCAACAAATGATATGAACAATATTGAATAATTTTCATTTTAGCATCTTTATTTTCTTTTCCAAAGCAAAATCATTCTTTGTTTTTAGTCATGCATTTAGTTGTTGCACATTGAATTTTTTTGTTTGTAAATCAATATGAATTTTAATGTGTAGGTTTATTTTGTTTCCTTTTTTTTCAGATTATCAATACCTCATACAGAAACTAAGTAAACAAGAAGGAAACAAGAACATTTTTATATATAATTATGAGTCGAACAAATGTTAAACAAAATCTTGACACACGACGTGTTGTAGGTAGTATGTGTAATTGGAGAATAAATATTGGATAATTAAATCATATTTCGGATTTTTTTTACATTAACAGACACAGGAATTATTTACATTAACTTATGGAGCATTTGTTGCACAAATTCTTAATGATTATGAACATGTCGATGAAGTTAATAAACAACTTGATAAAATGTAAGTTTTATAAAGAAAAAGTACAAATTGAAATATTTTAATAATAAAAATAAATGAAATTATTTTTGACTCATGAGTTTTTAAACACAGTTAGATATAATTTAATTTATATTTATAGAGAAATTGATTTATTCGTGAATAGCTTGTAAAATCGGAACCATGAGAAAAAATTTGTCGGGACTAGAACGCAAGTTTATAATAAAATATTCTATGAATTTAAGCAAATTATCTAAGAAATCATCCCAATAAGAACATAATTCAAGAGAGATGACTGAAAAAAGTACTAGCCATCATCTAAACAAATGAAAAGTAAAATCACCAAGACTAAAAATACTTGCTTCCGCACTCGTGATACGTCTGCTTTTAATGATGGTTTCATAAAATATAATTTTTACATCATTATCATAATTGATAGAATTATATATTATTTTATTTTAGTGGTTATAATATGGGTGTTCGATTGATTGATGATTTTCTTGCTCGCAATCCGACTGTTGGTCGATGTCATGATTTTCGTGAAACAGCTGACGTCCTTGCTAAAGTAGACGATTATTGTATTGGANACTGCGTTAGATATAATTTAATTGATATTTATAGAGAAATTGATTTATTCGTGAATAGCTTGTAAAATCGGAACCATGGGAAAAAATTTGCCCGGACTAGAACGCAAGTTTATAGTAAAATATTCTATAAATTTAAGCAAATTATCTAAGAAATCATATCAATAAGAACATAATTCAAGAGAGATGAGTGAAAAAAGTACTAGCCATCATCTAAACAAATGAAAAGTAAAATCACCAAGACTAAAAATACTTGCTTCCGCACTCGTGACACGTCTGCTTTTAATGATGGTTTCATAAAATATAATTTTTACATCATTATCATAATTGATAGAATTATATATTATTTTATTTTAGTGGTTATAATATGGGTGTTCGATTGATTGATGATTTTCTTGCTCGCAATCCGACTGTTGGTCGATGTCATGATTTTCGTGAAACAGCTGACGTCCTTGCTAAAGTAGACGATTATTGTATTGGAACAAATGAATAATTAATATTTTTCTATTTTTTTTTTTTAGCAAGGTTTCAAAACTTACTTAGGTATAACACCATCAATTACAAATTGGTCAGCAGCTGGTGATGAATTTTCCTTATTACTTGATGGTAATCCATTAACTGAATTTGTTGAATTACCTGATGGACCAGGTCAAAAATTAAGTTATAATCAAATGATATGTGGAGCAATACGTGGTGCTCTTGAAATGGTTTGTTTTTATTTCTTTTTGTTTTTTATTATTCTTTCATATTGATTTATTTAAAGGTTCAATTAGAAGTTGAATGTCGATTTGTTCAAGATCAATTAAAAGGTGATAATACAACTGAATTACGAGTTAAATTTTTAAAGAAACTAGAAGATGCTTTACCGATTGGCGAAGATTAAAGATTATATCAATTCTATCATAATATATTATGTAACTGTGTCTTTTTTTCTTTGATGTGCATTTTCATTTCCATTTGTCGGTTTTTTTTTGTGTTGAACGATAGAAAACATCAATGTAATTCATGTTTGCAAAAGAAAATAAATGATTGATTATGTCAAAAATTTGCTTTTAATTTTACTTGACCAAGTAATCATAGACAAAAAAAAGAACAAACTTCATTGATATTGACCTATTATATCTATTATTTGTTCTTCATCTTCTTCTCTATCGAATGTCAGAGGTACAACACGTGAGATATATGAGCATGACATGTATGTGAGACATCTTACAATTATCAATGAATTCTCTCTATAATTTAGTTGTGTTGTTCATCTTTTTTATCTTCAATTAACAATAAACGAGAGCGGATGTGATCAAACGGTGTAATAAGGAAATAAATAAGTTGCTTGTGAGTATGTCTGACAAATCTGATCATCGTCTGGCTGTTGACTGATATTTGATATGGCTCGTTGCACTGTCTGGTCATTATTCTTTCTTTTTCTATACCTTTCTCATCAGGTTAGAAGCTTAGGCAAATAAGCCTTGAACTTCCTTCTAATTCAAATGGACTTAAGGGACAAAGCAGATATATACATATAGCTAGTAGTATAATGATGATGCAATCTTATGGCAACTAAAAGCAATGACGGCTAACCAAATCTCAATTGACACTTCGACGATGAGAAGAATAAAACGAACAAGAAGAAGAAGAAAAGTTGCTCTACAGGTATGTACATTGATTATTACCAGAGAAATATAAAAATTTTACCAGATGTTTGACACTTCTTTCACTAACATACGTGTACAATATTTGCACAAATTATACCACTTTTCTTTTTTTCCTCTTTTATCAATAGACAAAAGTCGGTTGCTTGTCGTCCTCGAGAAATAAGATCCGACCTCTAGTGTTGTTAGCAATCTCTATTGCCAATCTCTTTTCTTTTCTAATCACATATGTATATGTATGTACACATACACATAATAATCGCCGGTTTTTCACGGATAATCATCAAAGAATATAATAGGCAAAAGTAAAACATACACACATACATACATATATATAACTGCTAAGCAAACTTCCATAGCTCAACAGGATTGTTCATGGCATATTCATAGGCTTGTTATCATTCTCATATAAACGTATATATTTGTCCAATATTATTTCACACTTAACAATAATACAATAGAAACAAGTCGATTACTTTTTATCGTCTTTAGTTATATCTTATTCATTTCGTTATTATATATGATTGCTTCCAGGTACAGCATATCATTTTCTTCACAAATTGGCTTTGCTATTCTCTTTCTCATTTTCTTTTGATAAATCGTAGTAGAGCGAGTCTGATGACCAAGCTGTTTCACCTGTTGGCGGTGCATGCATGGCAAGTTTGATCTTTCTTATAAATTGATTCATCGTTATTTATATTCTCACAGGAAAAAGAAAGTCGCCGGTTTAATTGCACATTTAAGATTGAGCAACAGATTTTTTTATTGGTATACATTTATACATGTCGTACTTGTCGACTTGGCTCATTAGATAGATAGTTATATGAAATAGAGATAAATTACGAACACTACTTTCATATGAAATGTGATGTAATTTTAAAATGCTTACCAATTGACATAAATTGAATCTATCCATTGCGTGTTTAACTATACTCTTTTGAAGATGGTCACCTTTATGTATCTGTGTATATGAAAAAGAAGAAAGAACTGTTCATGCGAAACACATTATTGAGCGGTGAACTGTATATTTGTAAGATAGGTGTAGAGCGGCTGAAGTGCGCGAGAGAAGAAGATTGATCATAATCGATGTATGTAGATATGATGATGACGATGATGACAATGATGACAACGAGACAAAAAAAAGAGACAAATCGTTCACCTTCAAATGAGTGATGAGCGAGTTTATAAATGTATATATACAACCAATTAGGCTAGCTCTTTTTCTTTTCTTTTTTTTTAAACACATTTTACTCAATTCGTATAATAGTAGTTGCTGTCATTGTCTTATTTTATCGGACTAAAATCGTCACGGAGTAACAACGACGACGACGAGAATAATATTAAATGAAGCGTAGAAAACGGCAATATAATTACGAGATACAAACATAAATAGGGATAAGATCCAATTTGATATTAATCGAAAGATTTTTGATTTTGATATTAAATATAAAAACTCAAAAATAAAAACAAACAAAGAACGATGATATCAGAGTTAATTTATATAGTGTTTTTCTATCAACTTTTTAATGTGTGTTCCATTTCTTTCTTTCTTTCTTTTTTTTTTTTTGATTTCTATAAAAATAATCGAGTCGATGATCATACCTCTTCATCCGTATTTATTCATTGACAAACAATACGCCTTTGCCGTGCGTATGTTTGCATAACACTTGTTAGGTCTCTTCATCAGTTGCCGTTGCATGCATAAACATCTACCGATAGATGACCGAACCGTAGAGATTAATTGTTTCTGTGAGTCGAGTCAACTAAACGTGTGATATCAATCGTTTTCACTTACACTTTCTAATCGTTTGATCATCTATCATCTTCTCAATGTTTCGAATTTGTCTTTGCATATATTTGTTATTTTCAGCATATCCTTCTATTTCATGAGATGAATTGTTATATGAAATAGATACGTGACAAAAAAACTATAATCATATTTTCTAGATGAGATGAGAAACGAAATTTCTACTTCATATCTCACGATATGTATTTCCGGATATGTATCAAGCTTTGACCTTTTCATTTAATCAACAATAGAATATATCAACAGACGAGTTGATTTCCGGTAATTTTCCTTTTTTTTTCCACATTGACATAAATTATCCTTAGGCTGTACCATAGCAGATGTTAATTGAAAATAGTAAAGACAATCTATTGACTGTTCACTTTCAATGATTCATGAAATAAAATAGGACTGTCGTGATATTTACCTGTTCTTATATTTTGAACGAATAAAAAAGGGAATCAAATGAATGAAAAGTTTCAAGGCTGATCTTATTCTGAAGAGGATGGCACTATTGCACTTACGTGCATGTTTGCTCTCTCTCTCTCTCTCTCTCTCTCTGTCTCTCTCTCTCTGTGTCTTTTCGATGGTAATTGGGTAGAAAGAGAAAAAAAAAAGAAGTTGTTCTCTCTATATTCTCTCCGTGTCACTTATTGTACAGTTCTTTCTCTTACTCATTTTTTTTCTTGCGAGACATTATATTTCAATTTTACGTTTATATATTCTCTCTTTTTCTCTTTTTTTGAATCATTGTAGATTTGATTGAGCATGTTGATGACAAAACTAAACAGATTTGGCATTGAAAAGAAGTTTGTGATAGTTAAACGAATAACAATAGTACTTTAAACGTTGATCAATCAGTCATTTGAAGTTGACTGAACATTACAGTAAGTCATATTTATATCTTAATCTTGTTTTTATTGAACAATAAATCTGTTTAAGAATATGATTAAAGATTATTTTGTTTGTAAAACCTTCTTTTTTGCTTAGTAAATACTGATCCATTTTGGATTTTGACATTTATGTATATATATATATATGCTTGTGTTTATACAAATATCTCTTCCGAATTTTATGTTACGTATTGTGCGTACTTAGGTAGACACACTCGAAAACAATCTAGTATATTTGAGGTGATGATGGTTGGTAAAGAAAAAAAGATTGATTTTGGCTTTTTTTTATATAGCCACTGATGGGAACGGTGAGAGTCGCATCCTATGAATAATGTGTGTGTGTGTGTGTGCATAATCACTTGAACATAACAGAAACAAAAGAAAGGCAGACTGAACTCGGCACGTTCAATTTTTCAACAATAGAAAGAACGTAAGATTGGTGGAAATAGTCAAAAGAAAATTTTTTTACACATATGCATAAAGTTTGAACATTACATGTACTATCGTATAGAGTCAAGTCAAACGATCGCCTACTACTTCGATGAAACATAGAATATTTTTATATTTGAATAATTTACAAAAATGAAAGAAACAAAAATTTCTTTTGTGAACTATTTTTTAGACGATATGTATATTTTATTTATTTTTTCATTAAGATTGACTACTATTGTGATTGATGCTTGTCCATCTTTTGGTCGATGAGTACCCTCATCATCAACGAAATCAGCCTCGTGCTGCTACTATTAATGGTCATCATGACGCGTGCACAAGGTATAGTCTTTCTTGTACTTAGACATGGTCTGCTTTTAAGTGTCGTGAGTGAACGGTCACCGTATGTGTTGATGGTGTCGGTGTGAGAGTTCAACTAATTAGTATTCATTGATTATTGTTGTATTGAAAAAAGAAAAGAAAAAGAAAGACGAGAGTCAAAGGGACACCATATATAATATGTCAACAAACAGACAGAATATAAAGACTGATAGAAATTAGAGAAATAAAAATGATTGATGGAATTGCAGGATTTATTTTTCAATTCTTTAGAACATACATGTGACAATAAAATCAAATGAACCGCTCTAATACTTTAATCAAATTGATAAACACGTTTTGTAATTACCTTATAGGATAAACGTTGAAGATGAAATTTTATCAAAATAAACTTTTGTTTTATTAAAAAGAAAATAAAAACATTTAAATGGTTTCTTTAGGTCAACCATGTACACTTCAATTTTTACCTGCACTTCAAATTATAACTATGCTCGAAAATACTGAACCCGGAAATCTTGTTGCACGTCTTCAAATAACTGGTACTCCATCGGAAATTTCAAATAGACTTGTTTATAATAGTTCTGATGTAAAAACAAATGGAACTGATTATTTTATTCTAAATTTTACTGATCTTTACTTACGTTCTCGTAAGTTTGTATTTAATTAATTAAACATAAAAAAACTTTTTTTTTTTTTTTTTTGAACAACTTTTTAGCTCTTGATTATGAATGGTGGACATCAAATAATTATCCAAATCCATTTCGTTTTATTGTTGAATGTACAGTTTTAGCTGATAAATCAATTCATGATATTGATTTTCAACTTGATCTTATTGATGTTAATGATCATCCACCAATATTTTCACAGACAATTTATTATATAAATCTCGATGAAACAACACCAATAAATACTATTATATCAACAACTATTTTTGCATATGATCCGGATTCAGGTGCATCCGGAACATTTTCCTATTATTTACATAATAATTTATCTTCCTATAATGTAAATTAATCCTTGTTGAAAAGATAATTTATACATTTTTATTTATTTATAGTCTTATTTTCGATTGATAAGTTCAACAAATGCAAGTCTTATTTTAGTTCAAGCACTTGATTATAATTCTATGGTATCAAGTTTTAATTTAACAATTGTTGCACAAGTAAGATAAGGTCATTAGGAAGATTTTTATTAAATTTCATTTTCTTAGGATCATGGAAATCCATCATTATCATCTCAAGCAATTATTTCAATACATTTAATTGATATTGATAATTTAGATCCAAAATTTAATATATCAACATCATATACTCTTAATATTTCAATTGATATGGAAATTGTATGCTCTTTTTTTTGTTACTTATATTTGTTTTGTGGAACTCATACTCATTTCCGAAGAAAATAGTACGTGAAAGTTTTAAATGAGAAGTTTTGTGGATCGTCCCTCCCCCGATGATAGACCTACGCAACTATAGGTATAAACTAATTATTTCAAAATCAAAGAGAAAAATAAGTAAATGAAAGAGTATAAAATTACGGTACTAATACGTGCAGATAGTACAGTGAGGCACTGCTTTTGTTACTTATCGTAGTTAACATTTCAGAATCTATCTGTAATTATTTCAATTGGTGAGAAATATCATTATAGTCATTTATTGCTTCATTCAGTTTCACTGTTATCGTACATTTTTTCTTCTTTATCATATTATAAAAAGGATAGTGTTGCTTTTTTATGGAAAAGAAAACGATTTAAAAGAAAAATATTTTGATGTTTTTGTCAGTAATTTTGATCATTATTAAAAAGAAAATAAATCGTTCAGTATGTATGTAAACCTTTCATTAATTCACATTATTTATTCCAAACTTTAAAGTATATTTCATTACATAACAAAGAATTAGACTAAATTATGTGCTAGCTTATATGGAATATGTGAGTTCCACATTTCAGCTTTCAGAGGACTTGCACTAACAAACTTTTATATATGATTTATAAATTAGGGATACGAAGTCATACCAAATGAAGGTAGAATATGTGCTTATGATCAAGATATTGGAATAAATACAACAATTATTTATTCTTTGTTAACATCAAGTAAAAAACAAAAGCAATGAGATAAATTAATATATTAATTTGAATTTTTTTTTTATAGGTACTTATTTTTCAATTGATAAATATACAGGTGTTATAGTTCTTCAATCAAATTTTTATTCTATAACACAATTTGATCTATTAATTAAAGTAAAAATGTTTATTCGATTTTCTTTTTGTAACAAACGAAATTTTTTTTTTTTCACTTGTAAAATAGGCCGAACAAGAAAATAATCCCAATCGATCAGTAACAACTATATTGCATGTTAATGTCTATGAATTAAATCTATATGCACCAAAATTTCTTGCATTACCTTATACAATGATAGGATATACAACGAATACGCTTGATCAAATACCAACATTTAATGGAGCTATTCATGATATGGATACGGTAAAGAAAATTAAAATCAAAATCGAATGTTTTTCTTCTTTTTTTTTCTTTAAGAATCCAAGATTGACTTTTGGTTATTCATGTAATTCATCATTAATCAATTTAGATATTATGAAAACTAGGTAATAGAATTTTTGTGAAAAAACTATTAATATTTTTTTTTTCTATGTTAAATAGTCTTCGTCAATTTCGAATTCAACCAAATAATTTTCTAAATCTTCCAAAATGTCAACCTTGTTTATGTTTTCTTAATGTATCTGATGGACGATATGTAAGTTATTTTATAATTTGACTTTAATAAAAATCAAATAAAATTTTTAGTCGCATCAAACAAATCTTAATGTTTATCTTTATACACCAATATCATTTTTAATGAATTCATATCTATTCTCAGCTGATTATCCACTTAATGATCCGTCAGTTATCATTGGTACTATATCGGTATGAAATTTTTCTTTTGAAAAAAAAAGAAATCATAGAAATTAATTTATTGTTGTTGCGTTTTTCTTTTCTTAGGTTATTAAAGATAATAGTTGTGTAGTGCAATATTTTATACTAGATCAACACAATTCCTTATTTTCCATTTCTCAAACAGGTAATTTAACATGGTTAAATTCATCAAATCCACCAACACAAGAAGCTTATCAATTTCAAATTACTGTTCAACAAATATGTTCATCATTAATAATGAATATTTCAACAGATGTTATTATTACAATTCGTAATTTTCCATCATATACAATAACATCAACAATAAATACATCTCAACTAGATAATAGTACAACATATGCTATTATAGCAAGTGTTGGTGCATTTATTCTTATTATAATTGCAATATTATTTATTATTATTTATTATAATATTCAACGTGCTAAACATCGTGTTCCACCATTTTTTAAAACTCGTCAAAATTCATCAGCACAGGGTTTATCATTTTTTAAATCAAAAAGTCCAATTAATGAATCTTCACCATATACATTAGGTGTACGTGATGATGATTCATCACATAGTAGTGATCATACAACTTCATCACCACTTAATAATCGTCTTCTATCTGGACATTATAAAGTTAGTGAACCACCAATAAATACAACGATTGAAGAATTATTATCAACATATGATAATCGTTCAACAAGTAGTTCATCAAGTTCATCTGGTATATGTGATCAAGCTATATCAACAAATATAGGTGCATTTCGTACAACTATTCGTGAAACAAATGATCATCAACAACTAGATACAATAAATGAAGATATACAATGGATTAATAATCAACAACAACAACAACAACAACAAAAGAGGCGTTCAAATAGTTTAAGACATCAAATGTTATCTGAAGATTCAATGGATATTATATCAGAATCTCATGAGGTAGACAATAAATTTGAAAAAAACACTAACGCTTGTTTTGCTTGCTTTAACTCTAATAATTCTATTAATCATATGTGTTCTCATTGTTATTCATTATTATCGAGCACGTCAACTCACTTATTATTATCTTCCTCTTCCTCCTCCTCATCAGGTTCGACAACCACTATTGATGCTTGTCGACAACACACAACAACAACAGCAACAGTTGAAGTAGGATCCAACAGCTTTAGTTATTATAATGCTCAATTCAGCCCTATTGCTGCTACTCGCTGCTAAACTTAGTTTTATTTGTCTTCGTTTTTTTTTTGAATAACTAATACATATATATATATATATAAATAGTTTTTTTCTTAATACTTGCTTGCATCTTATATCAATTGCATGGGAAAAATTAGAATTTTCTTTATATTAATATATTTATTTTTTCAGTCATCAATCAGTGGTGCTGGTATCGACATCGGAACATCAGCATCAACACTATTACAGCAACAATCTACTGCGACAAATGTTCACAGTCGAAATTTAAACGAGTATTTGACAGTGTTTGTATAAAGAAAATAAGAAATTAAATTGAAGTCAAGATTGTTTTCTTTTTATTTTCTATGATAATCGAGTTTTATTCTAGTTTAATACGTGTTTTTTTTTTGCTTTCATTTTTTTTTTAAAACTTTTATTCAGTTTGTTTTATATTCTTATGCGGTTAATGATAGATTAGTAAACACGTAAAATAATATGATAAAAAACATTGTAGAATATAAAAATTTCAATTGAGATAAACATGATGAAGATGCACAATGAATTTTGGATATTTAATAGGTTCAGTAATATAAATTCTTAGTTACAAAATCACTTTGTCTCGATTAGATTCTCTCTTATTTTTTCTTTAACAGATAGAAATAAACAACCATTTTGTATCGGACACGGTCATAGAGCAGAGACGGACATTGTTTTTAGTCCTAACTTTAGGTTAGAACAAGACTAATCACGACTAGTTATAGGACAAGACTAAAAGTATTAATTTATCTTAACTTTATAAAATGAAAATGAATTAAAAATTAAAAAATAACTTCTGTCTGTCATACTTAAACAGACAAATTCCAAGTGTAACAATAGTATATGTTAGTCGATGTTTTTTTTCTTATCAACAACATTTCAATATGTGATGTTGTTGCAAAATGAGCATGATAAATGAAGAAAAAAAATCCTTGCCTGTATACCTTTTCGTATGTATCATACTATACATTTTTGAAAATCACCTGAAAAAAAATACAAGATTAGGTTGTCAAAGAAGAAACAATTTCTTTATTACTCAATTCGTTTTCACTTAAAAAAGAAATTAATTTATTTTTATTGTTTCAATAAAGATAAATTAACAGCCCTATAAACATATATTCTTGAAATACTAAGTATCAAAAAATGTTGATACTATAATCTTATTCGTTTAGAGAACAAGTGACAGACTTTTAAATTGTTGAACAGTTGGTTAGAATAAAATAGGAAATTAAGTTGATTTTAATATCTATCTTATAACTTGGTTCCATCACTGTTAATTTTGCGATAGCCGAGGACAATAATTCGCTAAAGTCAATTTGAATCAACGATGACTAGTTCACACTCAAATATCTTGTTCTCTGCTACAATTGATGATCTATAGTGTTCAATTATCATACGAAGCAGCAGCAGCAGGATGTCGTTTCATAGCATACTGTATATGACGAAATCATTTCAAAACTAATCATTTGTGCGAAAAATCAAAAACTTTGTTTATGAAATGATCAAATTATGTGTTATTGTATGAGACAGATATTCAATTTGATCTATTTACTAATTATGACCTAAGATGAGGACGATCCCAACAAATATTTTGCAGTATACATTTAAGCCATCTCTATCTAATGTATGCATGAAAATAAAAAAAATCATTCGAACAATGTATCGCTGTCGTACATTGTTTTTAAGATTTTGTGTAAATCATCTTGTTTTCAAACGTTTTTCTCCTATACACTATGATATAGACGACGTCTTTTAGCATCTGCGTTCGACTGCTAAAATTCACAAATCATTAGCTTCTACTTTGCTTACGATATTCATCTTATATTTATTCCTATTAAATTCTGGCACCGATATTACTGCTATATTTGTAATAAGTGGTCGGAACTACAACTCAAACGATCAAGAATGACTACACCAATGCCAGCTGATCCAAAAGGAAACAGCGAGAAATATAATGAATATTGATTGTTGGCCTTTATTTTTGATTTTATTTTATCATTCAAAGTTTTATTTTTGGATTCTATTTATTTCGGTAAAAACATCTTAGCATCAGTTCTAACTATATAATTAAAAGTCAATACTGAATTGATTGATTGAATGAATTCAAATAAAAGAAATGGTTGGCAATCACAATTTTAGACTGGAAAAGATCAAATTTTTGATTGGCGAACAAAAGTATAATTAAAGTTGACTTTTATTCGAAAATAACCGATCTTTACAATATCCATTCAATGTTCTTCATGCGATGAAGTACTTAACCTGGGACTTTTGAACACATTCAGTTACTGTTACCAGAGAAAATCACTATTAAGTAATGGTTAATTATTAGTCAAAAGTAAAGCATATCGGAATGTCTACTGTGACAACCTTTGTTTTGGATTACATTTTGTGGAATATTTTATCACGCAAATCGTTAAACTACAACTGCAACAACTTTTATCAAATATTTTTTATTATGAAAATTTACTCATGTTTGTCCATTTTTTTTACCAAATCTATTCATACACATTTCATAATTAAAATACTAGCGAGAAATAATTTGGTATATAACATATAGCTTTTTTAAATTTATACATTAATTATATATTATCAGTTTTATAACATAAGTAACCAACAAATGATTATCAAATTATAATGTATATCTATTCTTTCTAAATTTGTCTTATTAAATTAAGATTTTCATAGACTAATATTGCTCTTCTTGTGAAATATTTGCCATCATAAACGAAGTTCTTTATTTTGAGAATGTATGTTTCGAAAAAACGCAAAAAAGACTCACTCTACAATATAATTCTTTGTGTGACGTAATTCTTTTTCAATTCTTTGCCATAGTTGGACATCAAATAATGTTCTTTTAGAACAATCAAAATTCTTGTATACCATTTTCAAGTAATGACTGTCCTTTTTTCTTTTTTCTTTAAAAAACAAACGAAAATAAATTTGAACGATGCATATTGCGACAAAGGAGTAGGATCTTAATATTTTTCTTTCGTTTCTTTTGTAAAATATTATGGAGTGTTTTTTTTCTTATTTTTCAAATCATATCCTCCTACGGCATACAATAGTGGAAGATTCAAATCAACTAAAATTTATTTTACACTTGATGTTATAACACAAATTAATTCACAAATGAAATGTGCTTGTGATTGTTTCAATAATTCCATTAGTCTTGCAGTGACCTTTTTTTTCCAAAACAATCAATGTTGTATTTGATTAAAACAAGGCACTCTGAAAATTATGATCACCAGTGAAAAAACGAGTTTATTAACTTTGAGAAATAAAACATTAACTGGTACTTATACAATATTATTGATGCATTCATATATTAAAACATTAAAATGAAGAAAGAGTGTAATTCAAGTTCCAAAAATGT